GGTCTCTGATATTCATAGGTGGAAAAAGGTTTACAGGTCTCGGTAGATGCAAAAGAGTTTACAAACTCGGTCAACACAAATTCAACATCTTGATGACGTCATGAAAGAAACAGAAAACGGAGGATGTTTCTACTGGGGGACTCAGAAAGTTTTGTGGGCGTGTAAGCGTAATATGAATCATTAGGTTTTAACAGGCTAGCCGTCATTACGATCATGGCACTATAGATGTAACGTCATTTCCAAATCGCAAAAGTATTATATAGAAAAGATCCAAGATGAGCCAAATGTGCTTGGTAGATTGTTGAGGTAATAGTTTACGAGTGTCACCTGTGACCCACACCGATCACCTTGAAAAAAAAAATTCCGTGCTATAATTCACTATTTGGGTTGTTGTTCTGGTGGTGCCTACAGTGTTTGTTAGGTTGGGTTACATAAAATATTTTTTTAGAGGAAATGGTCCAACCTAAACTACAATCAGGGTTGGGAAAAAAGTGTCATAATTGATTAGCGATAAGACACTATTTTAAATAATTACATAAATAGCATTAATTTATAAAACCACAAATGTATAAAATTTGAATACAAATGAGAAACCATGAAAAATTACCAATATACTGCATATTAAGCCCCATTCCAAGTTAAGTCCTTATAGTACAGTAGCCTATATGAGGCAGACAAAACCCTAAATTAAAGCAGTACAGTACAGTACAGTTTTCTGCTCTTTTCTCTTTTATTTTGTCTTTTAGTGGTATCTTTTGGGTTTCAGTCAAGCTAGTTGTCATTTCTCTTGAAAAAGAAGTTTGATAACCACCACTCGCGCTTCAACTTCAAATTTGGCCCCACATATCAAGCCGATTTGTTACATTTATCTTGCCCAGGCCTATCAACCCTCCCGAATTGCGACATTACAGCTACTAAATGGTAACCTGAATGTACAAGCTGCTAATTGAGTTTGATGAATCCATTTGTCGGGTCACTAAAAAGTAACCCGATGTTCAGGGATTGCTCCTCGGAGTTGCTGCCCTGAATGTTAACAAAAATGGCTGTCTATGTGCATATCCTCGTCAGTCAGTAGCTAAAACACAATGCCCCGATCACTCATGTCTACCACACAATACTTTCGAGTTTTAATGTAATATTTGTGTTCATGAAATGTTTGCTGTGAACTCTTACCGTTTCATGTTAAAATTACATAAGGATGAAGATAGGAATATAAAATGTTATATCTTAGGAGAAATAAATTATTTATATGTTACAAACACATAAATAAAAAAAACGAACACACATTGTATCTGCTACACTCCTGAGTTAATGAAAAAGTCCACTTTAGAGCGGGTCTATGTGCTCCTCCACTTTGAACTACACAACTATATTCATAGTAGAGAGGTTCATAATGGAGACTGGTGCTGGTGGGTATATTATTCCTCTTCAATTGCTTTTTTTAAAGTCATTAATGACCCCAGTCTCATTGTATATGAATCATGATAGTTTATTGTAGTATGGAAATTATGATTCTAGGGACAATTGATGACATTCACCACCAGCATCCAGAGCTGACCCATCTCAGCTATTCTTCATCGCCTGGATGAGGTAGCTACTGCCATCAAACAGATGAAAAATAACAAAGCCTGAGGGCCTGATGGAATCCCAGCCGAGGTGTACAAAGCAGGAAGACCTGTGCTTACCAGCCGTCTCCACTTTCTCCTGAAGAATATATGAGAAAAGGAAGAAATCCCCCAAGCTCTTAAAGACGACTCCATCGTCAATATTTATAAGAACAAGGGAGACCGGTCAGACTGTAGTAACTACCGCGGGATCTCCCTGCTTTCCGTAACTGGCAAGATTATCCCCAGAGTCCTCCTAAACAGACTTCTTCCTGAAGCGGAAAACTTCAACCAGAATCTCAATGTGGCTTTAGTGGAACCACTGACATGATCTTTGCTGCCCGCTAGATACAGGAACAGTGCAGAGAACAGCGTCGTGGGTCACGACGCTGTGACCTGTACATGGCTTTCATAGATCTAACCAAGGCCTTCGAATCGGTCAACAGAGAAGTCCTCTGGCGGACCCTCAGCCATTTGGCTGCCCACCAAAATTCATCGTGAGGCAACTCCACGATGGTTTGAACGGCAGCGTCCTGCACATTGCCACCCAGTCTTCGTTCTTCCCCATCCAAACAGGGGTTAAACAAGGGTGTGTACCGGCACTAACTCTCTTTTCCATTTTCTTGACTGCCTTCCTTACTCGTGGCAGTACCAATTTAAATACGTAGAAACAAGCCGCAATTGACGAGCACTGGATCCTACTCACTGCACCTTGTTCAAGTTCTACTTGGTTCCTGACGGCTCAATGAAACACAGTCTTCGCAGATGCAGTTCATTGGGAGAGGTCTGCACAGTGGTGCAGCAGGAAACAATCTGTCTCACACCCACAGGGTAATTGCACATGATCAAAAAACCTCGTGCTATGTCATCTAAATACTCGGACATCCAACTTCATTCACACTGCTAGGTGGCAGCACTCATGCACACCTCACTCACTCCACTAGAGGACAGCATTCGTGCACTCGCTCGTTCACGTCATACAGTGGTTCACTTGCTCGGCTCGTTCGTATTGCATAAACACCACACACTCAGTACTTAGACCAATACTATTTATTATATACATAAAGGATATAGACATAGGCGTAGACGCAACATAAGTAAATTTGCTGACGACACTAAAATAGGAAATGTAATTTAATCTGACTTGGACTCTGCAAAACTACAGGGGGATCTAAACATTTTTTTTTTGCATGGTCTGAAAAATGGCAGATGAAATTTAATGTGGACAATTGTCAAGCAGTTAGCCTAGGAGATGTAAACAAAGAAACCAGTTATCAGATAAACAGCGTTGATATAGAGAAGTCCGTCTGTGAGAAAGATTTGGGGGTAATGATAAGTAGGAATCTTAAACCAAGACAACAATGCATATTTGCTCCAAAAAAGATCATCAAAGTACTTGGGTTCATACAAAGGAGTGCTAGTTACAAGACTAGCGAGGTTATCCTAAAACTATATCATGCAGTTCAGGTTTGGTCATCGTACTACAGAATGGATATCGAATCCCTAGAAAGCATACAATGGAGGATGACAAGACTAAGCCTGGACGTAGAGTGAAAGGTGATATGACTGAGGTGTATAAATGGAAGTCAGGGTTAAGCAAAGGTGATATAACAAAGGTACTTAAACTATCCAGCCAGGAACGTACTTGTAGCAATAGTCTAAATTTGACAAATTTAGATTTAGGAGCGAGATAGGTAAACATTGATTTGCAAATAGAGCAGTGGATGAGTGGAACAAGTTACCAAACATAATCATTAACTCGAATACGCTGGATAGCTTCAAATATAGGTTGGACGCAAAAATGAGCGATAGGGGTTGAGTGTAAATAAGACTGCCTAGTATGGGCCAATAGGCTCGCTGCAGTTTCCTCCATTCTTATGTCCTAATGTTCTTCATTCTTTCAGTGAAAATGAGTCACTCAATATACTGCAAATCTGCCCCTTTAAAAGCTTTGGTGGCTGTCTTTTAAATTATACTGTAATTCTCTTAAGCTAAGCTACGACACGTACACTTATAAAATACATAACTTCTTACATCTTCCCATCGATATTTACCCTTAACTAATTTTCAACTTGACTAGGGAAGAAGGCATGTAGAATCCTACCATCTTCTTGTCAAGGGCAATTTTGAAGCTTCCACAACATTTGTTGGTAGACTTTGTCATAGGTTTTCCGCAGTGTGTGAAGAGTTACCTTCTTATATTCATCGTGCATTGCACCTTGGTGAGCTTGTGGTTTTGTTCCCTCGTGTTAGTGACGCGTGACATCCCAAAATATTGCCAGGGTTCACGTTTTCCACCCCTTTCACGCTTTTGAATGTGATTCTGAGATCCGTCCTATCTTGTCTTGTCTGCAGAATTGTCAGTCCTAAGGCTCTCCTCAGTCTACAGTACTTGGATAGTCGAGATGAAATCCCCGGAATAATCTTAGTCGCTCTGTGTTGTAATCCATCCAGGGATGTTATGTCTTTCAGGAAGTAAGGTCTCCATACATAATTACAGTAGTCCACATGGGGACTTACGAGACACTTATAAAGTTAAAGGAGCATTTTATATATTTGTTTATGAAGGTAAGATACTGTACGACTTCTAATTCCTAACGTTTGCTTTGCTTATATCATTGCTGCTCCCGATTGTTGCTTGTTTTCCTCATCAACAGTGTACAGGGAGGTGTTTATTCAGTAGGTTGTTTTAATCCATGTGCAGTTTTATATTTTGTACGACCATTTGAACAATTCCTGCAGCTCTTTTTGTCTGGATTTATTACAGTTGTAAACGAAACCCAATTGAAGTTTCTTCTTTTATTAAAAAGTATTATTTGTATAATTCCTGAGTGTAGATCAACCGTAAGTTCCACTATTTATGAGTGTGGTGAGAAAGGGACGGCGTCTATGTAACTAGACGTGAATCAACGTCCGTTTGATATTAGTTTGTGAGTGAGACTGACTAAGGGCATCCAGTGGTGCGCGCTTAGATAATTGCTGTCCTATGGTCAAATGGGCTTCTCCCTCTTGGGGAAGCTACCGTTCACGTGATCAGTTCATGTCCTCCTCATTGTTAGTGGAAACTTACAGGGGATGAATCTGAATATAAATCAAATGTAAAGAACCCATTTATATAATACTTTCTGTTGATGAGACAGGGGCCATTACACTAGCTTATCTTAGCTCACCCGCCTTTGACTGCACATCTCCAAACCAATTATATACTTTTATCAATATCAGACCGAAGATAGTGGACACAGGGCCTAAAATCGTGTAGATTGATATTCTATTCACACTCACTACATAAAAGGAGTTGTACAAATAACAATAATTATCACATACAAGATTTCCATTTTATAAAATATTAGTCTTGTGATGTGTGATGTATTTATGAGAGTATTAATCATGCCGCAGGGTTTCTGGGCGAGAAGGACTCCCCTGACAGCGGGAGGACGTTGGTGCAGAGTACTCACGCTGCCAGCATCTACGACAAGTTTCCACACAACCTGATGACGCGCTATAGTCAGTTACATCCAGACCTACCCACCATCTTACTCCTACGTGACCCTGTCCAGTAAGTCACCTTCTCCTGTGGCCTGTCACTGACATCATGTGTTTATCTCGAGCTAGGCATCACAGAACATGTACTCTACAACATACGTGATCCAATCTTTAACTGGTATCCAGATTCCTGATTCTAATATACAGTATTGTAACTAATTCTTTCTCGTTTGTTTATGGAACAGAGCCATCAGCTCCTACTGGAAACATTATGTTTCAAACAAAACGAAGGGAATCATCTCAAGCGAAAAGGGTTCCATCTCAAGTGAAGAAAAGGGGACCATCTCAAACGAAAAGAAGGGTACCGTCAAAAGTGAAAAAAGGGGTTCCGTCTCAAGCGAAAAAAAAAGTCCCGTCTCAAGTGGAAAAAATTATACCACCTCAAGCAAAAAAATGGGTACCGTCTCAAGTGAAAAAATGGGTACCCTCTCAAGTGAAAAAAATGGTACCATTTCAAGCGAAAAGAAGGGAACCATCTCAAGCGAGAAAAAGGGTGCCGTGTTAAACAAAAAAAAGGGTACCATCTCAAGGAAAAAGAAGGCTAGTGTCTCTGACAAAAATCACGAGGATGGTAAGTTTAAAGACGAAAGTAAGTTGTCAACAATATTTAAAGTATATTTTCTAAAAAAAAAATAGTGATAAACAATTAGCTAATATTTCTGTCTCTCAGTTTTGATAGTATCTTTGGAGTACTGCTCTTACATCTGGGGTGGCTCTTCTTCTGTTCAACTGTTAGATAGTGTGGAATTTAAGACATTTAGTCTTATTAACTCTCATCTTTTAGTTGACAATCTCTCTTCCCTTTCTCTTCGCCGCAATGTTGCTTCACTCTCTCTCTTTTGCAGGTACTTTAGCGAGCAATGTTTGGTGTATTTGGCATCCTGTGTACCGCCGACAAAGCCGTGGGCTCTTAACACACGTCTTGCCCGCGGTGCCCACACATTTCTCTGTGGATGTCGGTCACACTAGAATAACCTGTTATAGTGCATCCTTCTTTAAACACACAGCCAAACTGTGAACTGCTCTACATTCTTCGGCGTTTCAATACTCACACAATCTGTCTCAATTAAAATACCTAGTTTTCCGGCATCTTTGTGGTGTAGATAATAAAACCTTTACCCTCACTTTACCTGCCACTAACACTATCTATACCTTCACTTTACCAGCCACTAACACTATCATTACCTTCACTTTACCTGCCACTAACACTATCTATACCTTCACTTTACCTGCCTCTAACACTATCTATCTCCTTCACTTTACCTGCCACTAACACTATCTATACCTTCACTTTACCTGCCACTACCACTATCTATACCTTCACTTTACCTGCCACTAACACTATCTATACCTTCACTTTACCTGCCACTAATACTATCTATACCTTCACTTTACCTGACACTAACACTATCTTTCCCTTTACTTTACCTGCCACTAACACTATCTTTACCTTCACTTTACCTGCCACTAACACTATCTATACCTTCACTTTACCTGCCACTAACACTATCTATACCTTCACTTTACCTGCCACTAATACTATCTATCTCCTCTCAATTTTACCCCAGCCACCAACACCATCTATAATCTTCACTTCCACTCCATGCCACCAACACCATCTATACCTTCACTCTTCCGCCACCTCACAACACCACATCCATTCCCCTTCACTTTTACCTGCCACCAACACCACCATACCTCCACCCACCCGCCACCAACACCATCTATACCTCACTCCACCCTGCCACCAACTACACCATCCTCCTCCACCCACCCCACCAACACCATCTATACCTCCACCTCACCGCCACCAACACTATCTACACCTTCACTTTACCTGCCACCAACACCATCTTTACCTTCACCTTACCTGCCACCAACACCATCTTTACCTCCACCACCTGCCACCAACACCATCTTTACCCTTCACTTTACCCGCCACCAACACCATATCTATCTCCCTTCCACTCTTACCTGCCACCAACACCATCTATACCTTCACCTTTCACCAGCCACTAACACCATCTATACACCTTCACTTTTACCCGCCACCAACACCACATCTATCTCCTCCACTCCCTACCTGCCACTAACACTATCTATACCTCTCACCTTTACCTGCCACCACCACTATCTATCACCTTCACTTTACCTCGCCACCAACACCTCATCTATCCTCCTCCACCTCCCACTGCCACCAACACCATCTATACCTTCACTTCACCTGCCACCAACACCATTCATACCTCCACTTTACCCGCCACCAACACTATCTTTAACCTCCACTCTTCACCAGCCACCAACACCATCTATACCCTCACCTTTACCTGCCACCACCATCTATCTCCTTCACTTTACCCGCCACTCAACACTATCTTTACCTTCACTTTACCTGCCACTCAACACCATCTATAACCTTCACTTTACCTGCCACTCAACACCATCTTTACCTCTCACTCTACCCGCCACCAACACCATCTTTACCTCACTTCACCCGCCACACACCATCTACACCTCACCTTTCACCGCCACTCAACACCATCTTTACCTTCCACTCTTACCCTGCCACTAACACCATCTTTTGACCTCTCAATTCTCACCTGCCACCAACACCTATCTTTTACCTCTCACTTTTCACCTGCCACCAACACCATTCATCTCCCTTCACTTTACCTGCCACTTCACCATCTCTTACCTTCAATTTTACCTGCCCACCAACACCATCTCATCTTCACCTTTACCAGCCACACCATCTATACCTCTCACCTTACCTGCCACTCAACACCATCTTACCTTCACTCTCACCTGCCACCAACACCCATCTTATACCTTCACTCTCACCTGCCACTCAACACCATCCTTTAACTCTCAACTTTACCCGCCACCAACACCATATCTATATCCTTCACTTTTCACTGCCACCAACACCATCTTTACCTTCCACCTTTACCTGCCACTCAACACCATCTTTACCTCTCACTTACCTGCCACCAACACCATCTATACCTTCACCTGACCCGCCACCAACACCATCTTTCACCTCCACTCCCCACTCCACACCAACCACATCCACCTTCCACCTTTACCAGCCACCAACACCATCTTACACCACCTACCCGCCACTAACACCATCTCACCTTCCACTCTACCCGCCACCAACACCATCTACACCCTCTCACTGCACCCGCCACCAACACCTCATCACTATCTACACCCCACTCCACCCACCACCAACACCACATCTTATCCTCCACTCCCTACTTGCCACCAACACCATCTCTTAACCTCCACTCACCTCACACCCCAACACCATCTTAACTTCACCTTTACCTGCCACTCAACACTATCTATACCTCTCACTTTACCTGCCACTAACACTATCTATACCTCCACTTTCACCTGCCACTAACACCATCTTTACCCCCTCACTTTACCCGCCACTAACACTATCTTTACCTCTCACATTACTCCACACTCAACACCATCTTTACCTCACTCTTACCCGCCACCAACACCATCTACACCTCTCACTTACCTCGCCACCAACACCATCTTTACTCTCTCACTCACTCCACACTCAACACCATCTTTACCTCTCACTCTCACCTGCCGCCAACACCACATCCATCTCCCTCCACCCTACAGCCACCAACACCATCTTTACCTTCACCTTACCTGCCACTCAACACTATCTATATCTCACTCTTTACCCAGCCACCAACACCATCTTACTCTCTCACTTTACCTGCCACTCAACACCATCTATACCTCTCACCTTTACCTGCCACCAACACCATCTCCATACCTTCACTCCTCCGCCACCAACACTATCTTTACCTCCACTTTACCTGCCACTCAACACCACATCTCATCACCTTCCACCTTCCACTGCCACCAACACCATTCCTTTTACTCCACCCCATCTGCCACTCAACACCATCTTCACCTGCCACTCAACACCATCTATACCTCCACTTTACCCGCCACCAACACCACATCTATCTCCCTTCCACTTTACCCGCCACCAACACCATCTTTACCTCTCACTTTACCTGCCACCACCACCATCTATCTCCCTTCCACTTTACCCGCCACCAACACTATCTACACCTTCACCTACCCGCCACTAACACCATCTTTACCTCCACCTTACCTGCCACCCACCACTCATCTATCCCCTCCACTCACTGCCACCAACACCATCTTTTACCTCTCTCACCTTCACTCCTGCCACTCAACACCATCTTTACCCGCCACCAACACCATCTTACACCTCCACTCACCTGCCACTAACACCATCTTCACCCGCCACCAACACCATCTACACCTTCCATTTTACCTGCCACACCTCACACATTCCATCTCCTTCACTCTCACCAGCCACCACCATCTCTTCACCCTCTCCACCTTACCTGCCACCAACACCATCCATACTCTCCACACCTTCAATTCCGCCACCAACACCATTCACCACCTCACCCTCAGCCACCTCAACACCATCTATACCTCCACCTCACCTCGCCACCAACACCATCCACACCCTCCCACCTCACCTGCCACCACTGACCATCCACACCTCCACCTTACCCGCCACCAACACCATCTCTTCACCCTGCCACCAACACCATCTATACCTCCACTTCACCCGCCACCAACACCACATCCATCTCCTCCACTCTTTACCTGCCACCACCATCTTACCTCTCACTCTACCTGCCGCTAACACCATATCTATCTCCCCACCTTTACCAGCCACCAACACTATCTTTACCCTCTCCACTTTACCTGCCACTCAACACCATATCTATACCCCTCCACCCACCAGCCACCAACACCATCTCATTCTCCACTTACCCACGCCACAACACCATCTCACCTCTCACCTCCACCTGCCACACCATCTCATCTCCTTCACTCTTCACCCGCCACCAACACCATCTCTCACTTCACCTTTCACCCGCCACCAACACCATCTTTCATCTCCACTCTTACCTGCCACTAACACCATCTATACCTTCACTTTACCTGCCACTAACACTATCTTTACCTTCACTCTTTACTCCCACTCAACACCATCTTTACCTCTCACTCTTACCCGCCACTCAACACCATATCTACCTCCTCACTTTACCAGCCACCAACACCATCTATACCTCACTCTTTACCCCACTCAACACCATCTTTACCTCCACTCTCACTCCTGCCACCTCAACACCATCTTACACTCCACCTTTAACTCGCCACCAACACCATCTTTACCTTCCCACTCACCTGCCACCAACACATCTATCCTCCACCCTTACCTGCCACCAACACCATCTTCACCTTCCACACTCTCACCTGCCACTCAACACCATCTATCACCTTCCACCTTTACCCGCCACTAACACCATCTTACACCACCTCACCTGCCACCAACACCATCTACATATCTCCACTTACCCGCCACCAACACCATCTCATCTCACCCCTACCCAAGCCACTAACACCATCTCACCCTCCCACACACCCGCCACCTCAACACCATCTCACCTCCACCTCACCTGCCACCAACACCATCCACAATCTCTCACCTTCACTCTAGCCACCACACCATCTTTCCCTTCCACCCTACCGCCACCAACACCATCTCTTTACCCCACCTTTCACCTGCCACCAACACCACATCCATCCTCCACTTTCACTGCCACCAACACCATCTTACCTTCACTCTTTACCTGCCACCAACACCATCTTTACCTGCCACCAACACCATCTATACCCTTCACTTTACCTGCCATCAACACCACATCTATCTCCTCCACTCTTACCTGCCACTCAACACCATCTTACCTCTCCACCTTGCACCTGCCACCAACACCATCCATACCCTCTCACCTCACCTGCCACCAACACCATCTCTTTACCTCTCACTCTACCAGCCACCAACACCATCCCATCCTCCACCTTCACCCCACCAACACCATCTACACCTCCACTCCCTACCCGCCACCCAACACCATCCTCACCTCCCCCACCTTTAACCTGCCACCACACCCATCTCTTTACCCTCCCCATTCCACCTGCCACCAACACCATCTCACCTTCACTCTCACCTGCCACCAACACCATCTCACTCCACCCACCCGCCACCAACACCACATCTCCTCCACTCCACTGCCACCAACACCATCTCTCACCTCCACACTCCACCCGCCACTCACCACACACCTCCACCTCACCAGCCACCAACACCATCTCACCTCCACTCACCTGCCACCAACACCACATCCATCCTCCACCTTAGCCACCAACACTATCTCACCTCCACCTTACCTGCCACTCAACACCATCTATACCTCCACCTTTACCTGCCACCAACACCATCTTACTCTTTCACTTCTTTACCACCGCTACTAACACTATCTTTACCTTCACTTACCAGCCACTAACACATATCTATCTCCTTCACTTTACCTGCCACTAACACACCTTACCTTCACTTTACCTGCCAGCAACACATCTTAACTCTACTATACCTTCCAAACATCTTCTACCTGCCACTAACACTATCTTTACCTCTCACCTTTACCTGACACCAACACTATCTTCCCTACTCTCACTCCGCCACCACTGACCATTCCACTCTACCTGCAACCAACACCATCTTTACTCTCTCACTTACCCGCCACTCAACACCATCTTTAACTTCCACTCTTTACCTGCCACTAACACTATATTCCTCACTCCACCACCAACACCTTCCCACCTCACCCCCCACCAACACCATCTCATCTCCACCCCACCATCCACCTCAACACCAACCATAACCCTCCACCTCCCTCACACCAACACCCCACCCCATCTCACCCCACACCAACACCATCTCACCTCCACCCCACACCACACCACCATCCACACCTCCACTCAATCTCCACCAACACCATCTCACCTTCCACTCTCAATCCGCCACCAACACCATCCACACCCCACTCCCCACCTGACACCACCACTATCACCTCCACATTCTGCCACTCAACACCATCTCTTTACCTGCCACTCAACACTATCTAACATAAATTTAATAATTGAATGTACTATACCAATCCTAGATGCACCTCTATGCTGGTTGTTCGATTTATTAACTCTGCACCTGACAAATGCAATTTCACGCCAGCACAAGCATCCTCAACGGTCAATTGTCAATTTCATATACACCGGGACACAATAGCTGTCATTCTATTACACCCCCCACTGGCCCCATCCCCATCCCCATCCCCACACCCCCACACCCCCACTGTCATCCCCACACTGTCATCCCCACACCATCCCCACACCATCCCCACACTGTCATGTCATCCTCACACTGCCGGTCATCCCCTACACTGCTCATCTTGACACTGCTGCGCTTCATTCCCACTGTTGGTGTCATCCCTATACCGTTGGTGTTTTCATTCTTTACACTGTTGGTCATCCCCTGTCCCCCACACCATCCCCACACCCCACACCATCCCCCACACCGTCATGCCTTCCCATCCCCACACCGTCATGCCTCATCCCCCACACCGTTGCGTCATCCCTGACACCGTCGGTGTCATCCCCATAACTGTCAAGTCCTTTCACACTGTCAAGTTCATCCCCTACACCGTCATCCTCACACTGTTGGTGTCATCCCTTTATACTGCTGGTGTCATTCTTTATTATAATGCTGGTGTTTATTCCTTTATACTGTTGGTGCTATTCCTTTTATACTGCTGGTGTCATTCCTTTATACTGTTGGTGTCATTCCTATACTGTTGGTGTCATCTTCATTATACTGTTGCTAAATTCAAACTTTTCCAATGATGGATCTTTTATTTATTTAGAAAGACTAACAACTATTTTAATGTTTATCCCGTTCATATCTTAATCATTTACCACAGCCACTGGTGTCGCCTCTTCAAATGGAAACCATCCCAGCTAATTTTTAAATATTATAACTAGCTTGTAGCTGTCAACAGTGTATGAATTATTTTGAGGAAATATCCGCTTTCCGTAAGACCAGCTGATCACTTAATTCCAGTTTCCTACGTTCGGTGTGCTGTGGTCTTGGACAAATATTTGAGCAGGCCCGCAACGCGACCGAGACAGTTGACGCCACGAGGATCAAGATCACTTATTAGTCTCATACAGCCTGTTACGTCTCTGTTCTCTCACCTGGTTTTTAGTGCTAGAAATTCAAAATATGACGATTGGTCCCTCAAAATAATGAAAAGACAGCATTGTCCCCATGCGCTGGAATTCACTCTCAGTCTGCCCAATCCAACCCTTGAGCCACGACCAGCACTTCTCAACCTCCCAGAGCCATAATCCATCATACCCTGACGACAGCAAACCTGCACTCCACCATCAAACGCCCGATTCACAAGCGGGACCAGTGTCAAAAGTAATAATTTACCAACTACTGCTACATAACGTCTGGAACCTGGACACTGCAAGGATCGACTCAATCTTCACTTACAACCAATCTCAACGCCCAGCTCTTATCTCCTCCGTCCCAACCTATGACTCCTCCTAGTCCTGTTTGTCTAGTCCCTCGGCAGCCAGAGCCCTTCTCGTCATCATGCTTGCCGCTGAGGAGGCCTTCACCCCTGGCTCATCCACCACCGAGCTAGATATTCCTGCACAGTCACTCCTATTCCTGGCCAGAAGCCTCGATCCCGCACAAGCGAAAGGGTACAATCCCGCCCCTGGTACCCACTGAACTCATCAATTCTGGAACCTTAGCAACATTGGCACCTCTCCACACATATCGTTCTTCGCCTTCTAAACCACACGGCCTTAACTACCGTGTTGCCTCACTCAGTACATCTTACGGAAATCATCACTTGGAGTTCCCCTGTGCGTCTCCTGAATCTCTTCTGCCATCCATCTCCGTATCCCCTAAAACATTTCATGCATTCCCACCCTGCGCAGCCCATCTACCGTCCACAGCTCACTCACCCCCAGCCACATTATTCTCCACTATATTAATTTGCCGTATATCTGCCATCACTCTCTCCTTCCTGTTCTAGAGCCTAGATAGAGCATCTGCTACTGTGTTGTTTCCGCCTTGTACTGATGATGAACTGAATTGCTCTAAACCAGCATTCCACCTGTTCCGACTGCCCCTTAATTACGCGGTCTTTTATGACTCAATGGATTGTTATCAGTGTAGACAGCGAAATGTTTCGCCATTTAGTCCCTGAACTTATTCACTATTGCCTATTTGAGTGCTATCATTTCTAACCTAAGGGAGCTATATTTTGTCATGTTTCTTGATTTCCTGAGGCTCCGGCTTGCATTGCACGCAGGATTCAGCTTGCCATTTATCTGGGACAGCACAGCACCTAGCCCACTGAAACTTGCATCTGTCCCTAAGGTGAATTCTCAATGAAATCTGACAGGCAATCCTGGCGACTGCTTCACCACGTCTTTCATCTTCTGGAACGCCTACTGCTACCTCCTCCCCTTCACCCCCAACTAGATCCTTCGCCTTCCTATGCATCAGCTCATGCAATGGAGCAGCTATCTGAGAAAACTCGTTGATGAATTTGTTATAAAAAGAGTCTAATCCCAACAACGCCTTTCACATCTTTCTCTGTCTGAGGACTGGCCAGTCTTTTACTACTATCCTGTCCCTGGGTCGACGGTATATATGCATTTTTTTTATTTACATCTCAAGCGATGACTATCCCTGAACACAGCCTAAGTAAACATTACTACAGTATTCTCATACAGGCTTCGCAAGTTTATTATGAAACTATCCACATGGGAGTCTCTGGTGACAGATGTACTGATATGGCAGTCAGCTCCACTCCACGTCGTTCACTATGAGCGCCTGGTAAATAACACAGACTTATTCCGTGGGATGCTACACTTCCTCAGGTAAGGTTGAAGCTCTACTGCACCACACCTTCCTGATAAGCATATTATTAGATATTTTATACAAAATGTCCTAAACGCTGCTGCCTTCTGTTAACAATGCTGTAACTCTCTGATGTAATGTGACAATAACACACTTGGCGTTGTCTTGTACGAAGGTAAATATTTATCTGAGGTCACTAGAGGAAGGCCTATTCGTCCTGTACAGGTAAATATCTAATAAATGTATACAATATGAGGTACAACTGTAACATAATAGCAACATTATCCTCCCTGGTACCAGAGGATGAAGAACGCCTTCTCGTGTTTCTCCCCACCTGCGTGACCCGTCAAGAGTGTGGACAAGAAGGCTGTTGATCCCTTTACGAGCTCCGAGAAATGAAAATTGCGAAAGCCGTGGACAGAGTTAACCGACTACTTTACTATTAAGATCCAGTCATGGCTTCCCAGAAAACTTAACAGATTGACAACTCAACCACAGCTGACTGTCTACCTAGTACTCAGAGAGTGACTTGAGGAACAAGGACCTGACAACAATTTAATAATTACAAAAAAGTAATGTTAGAGACTGGGAAAACTTATAGGACAAAGGAGGAACGAGGATAAAAGTAGGTGGATGTCAAACGAAATTGTGAAGAAAATAGAAGGAAAATATGTGTAAGAGTATACCATCGTACGATATG